GCCCTTATATGTAATTACTTTTAGTTTGGGCCCCAATTTGTAATTATTTTCATTTTTTGGGCCCTTATATGTAAATTCCCCTATATTTTAATTAAAATTGCGTAATAAGAAACAATCCAAAAAATTATTAGACTTCATGTAATGATCTTTTCCAGAATGCTGATTTCATATTACCGTTACGTATATGGAATTATACGTATTTATATCAGATATGTATCCGTAATCAGCCTCACTTCCTTTTACGTATGAAAATTAGTGCTGGCATTACAAAACTTATTTTTTATTACATTGTATACGTATATGATCTGCATTGCCCTGCTATAGAGATGTACAGTAGTAGAAACTATCACGACATAATATAACTGATATGCTTTAAATAATTACGGCATAAGCAATAGTTTTCTACCGCAAATTTTCATGTGTAAAATTACGTAATAACTGCAAATCCTGCGTATTTCATGCACAGACCATCTTTAAAATCCGAATACCTTATGAGTTGGCATTAATTCTCACTAATTTGTTGATATGTATCGGAATGCGCAGGCCGTAGTATGTCCTTCTACAGGATACGATTTTTTGTTTAAATAATCCCATCCATTTTTCATACTTAAAAAAGTTTTTGATTCCTCTTTATTGCTTATCTCCCTTCAATATTATTTGAGAACATGCAAAATAACAATATTACTGAGAACGATGCATTCAAGGTCATTTTAGATGATAGTGAAAGTTGGAAATGGGTATGCTTTGATGAGTATCGTTGTCGTGGCAAATTAGAACGTCAAGTCAGGATTGAAAGCATCAACTCCAACCCTTTTGTGGTCGTTTATCCGCGTGATGGAAACCCATATGTTGAACTGAGTTCACATAAATTGATAAATATCTTGAAAGGTATTCTTCCTAACAAAAAGCTCATTTTCGGCGATAACTATGATTATGGCTCCTGGGCAGATTCTAATGGAGAGGATTATGGTGATTTTATTTATGATGATGATGATGATTGGGATTGCCAAGATAATAACTCCAATAATAACCCAAAACCTAAGGTCAACGATTGTCCTATATGCAAGGTCAATGCTCGAGACTTATTCCATGTTATGGAGAAGTTAAAGGATGTTACCAGTAAGTAATTTCATTCTGTTGGTATAATTTGTAATTATACTTGAATAAAATTATGTAACTATTTTATCATCATATTTTAGAAAGCGTGACTGATCTAGAGAGTAGTATCCATTTAAAACGTTTGATCAGATTCCTTGAACAAGAATTTAAGAAAACGTTAAAAATTCGTAAAAAGATGATTACAAATAAAACTGTTTCATATGAGATGTTATGGGTATTTTATACTGAAAATTTGGACATATGGTAGTAAGTATTAGATTCCTAATAAATATTCCTGATAAATGCAACTTTATAAATATGTTCTAAATATTAACAATTGTATAAATTATTATTCTTAAAATTATTCTTATAGTCGATGCGCCATTTCTGATCAGCAGATTGGAGGTGTCATTGTCTCAGTAGAAGAATCTCCCATAAACTTTAAGATAAATCTTAAAGCAATCGAATATGATGGCGTCGGATTTAAGCATTGTCAAATAGTCCGTGAGATTGATCGTTTTAATGGTGAAGTGAGCTTTTCTGACTTGCCTGTTGTTCCAATTGAACTTTCTACCGCTCAAGATTTCCTCAAAGAAAACATAATTGCAAATGGAAAGCAGTTTTTTAATTTTGCCTCAGGACATCACTTTATGAGTTATGAAGGTCCACTACTTCGTGAACGATGTATGTGGGTAGAGAAGGTTAGAGCTGATGGTCGTATCATGATTGATCTTCAAAGTTTTGCAACAATGAACCCAGAGTATTCAATGGGTAACGCAAAACCACCGAATAAATGTGACATTAAAATGCTTAATGAAAAGAACACTTATATCAAACTGAATGAACTACACCAGGACTCTAATTATTTTCTTGCCCCTGCTGTAGTATATGGTTTCAGTTTTACGATAAAAGAATGGGGCCTTTTCGAGATTTCTAAAGTTTCAGACATTATTTTTGATTCTGATTCCCTTGATCAAGTTGTAATGCCCCAAAATAAAAAACAAATGCTTGAAGGGCTAGTGAGTCAGTATGCTAATCCAAACCAAAATACTAATAGTGACGGATTTGTAAATGCTACTAGTCTATTTGAGAAATCTTTAGATCCTATTACGAATAAAGGTAATGGGTGTATTTTTCTTTGTTATGGGCCTCCAGGCACTGGAAAGACATTGACAGCTCAAAGCGTAGCTGAATTTCTGAGACTGCCACTATGGGTGATAACCGTACGCGAACTTGGATCATCTCCTGAAAAGTATGGAATTTCTTTTTACATATGAATGACGGAAATGAAAAACCTGTAAATTGATTCAAAACCTTCGTTGGACTCAGCTTCCGAAGAATCTGATTCTAAGTGATTTGTTTTAGAACACAATTTTTTCATAAAAATTTTTTTTTCATTTGATACATTAAAGCACTTCACATTGAAACAACTAATTTACAGTGCTTGGTGACATTTAATTAATTTTACAAGGGCCGAGTCCGATAAGATGAACAATTGTTAATCAATTTATAGGCTTTCCCTTTCCATAACTCATGTCAACTTATAATACATAATTTTTTACTCTGTAGTTTTCTAATTTTACTAATATGGTCGCCTTCATTCTTTTCCCTAATAGGTTAGAAAAGGAATTAGTTAAGATTCTTGATATCGCTCATATATGGAAGGCCGTCATTTTGCTTGATGAAGCTGATATTTACCTTGAAAAACGTAGCACAATTGATCTAACTCGTAATACATTAGTTGGAATATTTTTGCGTCTGCTAGAATATTATCAAGGTATTTAAATTATATATTTATCATTTTTATTATTATTATTTTTTTTTTGATTTACCATATTTATCTTTCTAATACTTTTTCCTTTAGGTGTCATCTTTTTGACAACAAATCGAGTCATATCTTTCGATGATGCTGTGTGTTCTCGAGTTAGCATGTTCTTCCACTATCCCAAACTTGGACCAGGGGAAAGACAACAAGTCTGGACAAACTTTATTAAACGTGCCAGTCTGCCCCTCAATGCTAATGACTTTATTAATTACGAATTGAACGGTCGTGAGATTCGTAATGTTCTTCACACTGCGCGATTGTTGGCCAAGAATGAAGGCAAAGATTTGACTTCTGACACTGTAATTGATGTTATTAAAGTTATTCAAGAATTTCGTCAAGTAACGGATTAAATGGAACTTGATACTTAATGTATTAATATGTAAATAACTGGTAAAAAAAAAAAAAACAATTACTAAAATTATAAAAAACAAAAAAAAAGTTAGTATGTAAAGAACATTAAAGCTATGATTTAACTAGACATTTTCACCCATTTAAAAATTTTGTAGCATTAAATATGTAGATAGATGTGGCTAAATGCTTAGCATTTGTGTTTTTAAGGATATGATAGGTAGGATTTTCGTTGAGAAGAACAACAGAGAATGGTAAAAGCAGGAGAATGTATTATAAATAAATTCCCCGAGGGGCTAGGTTATTTGCACTCGAACCTTGATATGTTAAGTCATTTTATGGCCCCGATTCAGAAGTAGTTCAGTCTTAATCTCCAAAAAAACTAGTAGCTCATAACTGATCTGATAATGAATTATGAATAAATTTCATAA